TTCCCCCTGGTTAGAGACCCTAATCAGATACCAGCCTCTAGACCTTGGCCTTTCCAATCTCCACGCCTCTAAGAACTAAATTAATTGTATTTATAATTTTTACTTAATTTTATTTATTTATTTTTTTAATAAATTACCCATATGGGGTCAGCCCAGTGGTGTGGTAGTGAAGGCACTGGATCCCACATGATCAACTGCAAAGTCTGAATCCTGGACTTGAGGGCTTGAAAAGAAACTGTAGTCGGCCACAGTGGAGTCCCACATCTCAACCACTATGCCACCACTGGCACCTAATAAAAAGTATTAAAATATACATACATATATACACAAGATACCAGAGGGCCCAAACAAGTAGCACATCTAGTTTACTAAAGCAGACAAGCTTATGGCCACTCAGCTGAAGAAATACTGTACACTCTTAGATTTAAAATGCAAAAAATCCCAGTCTCCAGGTGACATGCTGGTTAAGGTGCAGGATGACCACCACCTCAGTCTAAGTCCTGATCCAAGCAGCTTTAAAATCACAACAGGGCCAGCAGATTGTGTAGCAGTTACATGGCTGGACTCCCACATGAACAGTGGTTCAAGTCCTGAACCTGGTAGCTTGAAGCTACCAGCACATGTGCACGCATGTCCAAGAGCCCAGAAAGAAAAGAGAAGGGACTGCAGTCTGGTCATCCCTCCTGGGGAGGCGAGTGATTTCTCACTTTCCGTCTCAATATGTGCGTCTCTCTCTCTCTCTAGCAAGCACACACACCCTAAGGCAAAAACTTCATTTAAAAAAATAATAATAATAATAAAATAAAAAGATAAACATTAAAAAAAATATGTCCCAGCCTTGATGGCACAGGCAATAAGGTAATGATCTGCAGTGCTGGAAGTCACATGGCCAACAATGGGTTCAGATGCTGATTAACCTGAAACACTACACCAGCTCCACCAAATTCTGACTAGCTGGAGGGTTGGTGGAAGGGGATTTCATCCTGGAAGAACCCTGTTGAGGGTGCCCCTCTCTCTCTCTCCCTCTCTCTCTCTCTCACACACACACACATTCATACATGTACATTCTTCTTAGTCATGGAAAAAACAAAGCGCAAAAAATAAAAATAAATAATAGGGGCGAGCAGGTGGCATGGTGGTTAGGGCACTGGACTCTCCCATAGCCAACTATAGTTCAAGTCCTGGACCTGGCAGCTTGCTTTCTTACCTTCTCTCTCTCTCTGATCAAATAAAAAATAACAATTAATAATTATCTTTAAAAAGCAAAATAAATTGTCTCAGTGATACTACAAGATTGGTCAGTTAATTTCTCCTTAATACCTCTTATTTTAATTTACTCAAACATTTAATTAAGAGAGCAAGCCTGTCTTCAATGACAAGAGCATAAAAATGCAGTAAAAAAGTCAAAATTTAAAAATTACCTGTAAAAGTTCAAAGGAACCATTCAATAACCCTCTTCTCTGATGTCAGAGTAACTTTACTTGCCATTCACTAATATGAAGCAATCTTAACTCACTCATAAGGAATCACAACCTAAGTATTACTAAGAGGCACCATAAGCCTGCCATAAAGCAGAGGTGCCTGGGGTCAGCAGGTGGTGTGGTGGTTAAGGTGATGGATTCCCAAATGGTCAACCACAGTTCAAGTCCTGGACTCAGTGGCTTGAAAATCCTACCATCACACCAGAAACGTGTTTGTACATGACCAAAATCCCAGAGGAGGATGCGGGGCGACCCTGGGGGGCGGGGGGGGGGATTTCTCACTTCTCTCTCTCTCTCCTATAAGTGCACCATCCCATGGCAAAAACCTATGTCAAATGGCAAAGACCTAAAAAAAAACAAAAGAGGCACCTTAGACTTCAGCCTGCAAAGTGAAAACAAACACTACAGAAATCAAATACATAAATCAAATATTTAGATAAAAGTTCAAAGACTATGTATTAATTCTTAAATGCTTTTTTAGTATTAACTGTCTGACTTCAAGACCTTACTCAATTACTTTTCTTTTCTAAGATAAGAATGGTACTGCCTTTAAGACTTTGCTAATACTTTTCCTCCACCTAACATGCTTATCTCTCCCTCCCATCTTTACCCTTGTCCTATCATATCCCAACTCTACTACCATGAGTTTAATCAGAAAATCTTAGATCAAATGTTGGGACCAAGAGATGCCATAATGCTTACATCACTGGACTCCCAAGTAGTTGAATGCAATTGAGTCAGGAACAAGCAGCTTAAAACTAACTTCAGGGGCTGGCAGATGGCATGGTGGTTAAGGGTGCTAGACTCCCACATGGCCGCCCACGGTTCAAGTCCCAGATCTGGTGGCTTGCTTTCTTCTCTCACTCTCACTCTCGCTTGCTCTGTTCCTCTCTGGTCAAATATAAATAAAATAAAGTTAAATAAAATAATTACTTAAAAAGAAAAGAAAAACTAATGCCAGACGTCCGTGCGTGCATGACCAAAATCCTGAGATCCTGAGAGGTAATGAATGGAAGAGAAGGAACTGCAGCATGGCCACCGGGCCTCCCCCCACCCCACCCCCGCCAACCGGGGGGAGGGTGGGGTGATTTCTCCCTTTCTGTCACTCTGGAGAGTACATGCCCTATAGCAAAAATCTCTTTAAAAAAAAAAAAGATAAAATGTTAAGTACTAGAATGCCAACGGTTTTTCAGTGCCTCTTTCCATGAATAACAAAACTACGGTTCAGTTTCATTCTTACAAATCAAACATTACTCTTAATCTCAGTGACAACTCAACCATCCAGGAGTCGTTTACCTCAAACTGCAAAGCTGCTGGGCACAAGTGATAACACTTCACCAGTAAAGTAACATTTTATAAAAATCTGAAGTTATAAATTACCATATCAGCCACATTAAATACCTGAGCATTAAAGTCAAGCCAAAGATTACAAAAGAAATACAAGTGATTTTAAAAAAAAAAAGTGCCTGCGAATATACCAAGTAATCATTGTACATTAAAGTGCTAAAATCTCACATCAAGTTCATTTATAGTGTTAAAGCCAAAATTATTCTCAGGTCCAAGTTTCAATGCCTATCAGATTACCTTAGCATCTAAAAGCTGTTCAGAATTTCGAAAAAACTAAGACATCTATTTGCTTTACAAATGCTCAATATAATAAGAAACAAAAAAGAAAACCTTGCAGCACCTGTTCCACTTTTTCCTTAGGACAACATTCCGTAAAGCACAGATTACATTTACTATAATAAACTTCAGTCATTAACAACTAAAAAGTTGCAAGTCAACAGTTAGGAAATTAGAATATAAGACACCAGCACCGAAGTGCTCAGTCGCACACAAAGGTACGCTGCACAAGACTCCTTTCCAAGGCACAAGGGTAAAAGTTTGCTTGATACACAGTTGTAGAAGGCAAGCGTCCCGGGAGTGGGACGGAGGAGGAAAAAAAAAAACACGCTCCAAAACGACAGTCAGCAAACTTATATTAGATGTCTTCAGGAAAACTGCTAAAATGCAAATCTTGCGAAATTCCAATTCTAAACTCCCGATTAAACCTGAGCAGTATGTAACAGCTGCGGTCCGCTCCCTCCTAATCCTTAGAAAGCATTTCCTGCCTGGAAAACCTTTCTCCCCAAAGCCTTCTACAAGCTTTTTCCGCTCTCGCAACCTCCAGGAAGCCTTGAGCCCGCCCCTCACCTCCCGCCCCCTACCCACACACACCCACAGGGGAACCTCAACACTCTACAGACACCGCTCCACACGGGCACGCAGAACACATGTGCCTGCAGACCCAGCCCCTTTCCACACCCCCCGGAAACGACACCCCCTTTCTCACACTCCGCACGCCACAGCCCATCCCCCT